CTGAGTTTGCAAGACTTTAGGCTTTTGAAGATCTCTGGCAATCACGAAGTTTCAACTGAAGTGTTTGAGTTTTGGATGACCAATCACTTTGATGGTAAGCGTGTGAGCACAGGGTGGAGTGCTATTAACACAGCGAAAGGCGAAGAAGCAAGCGAGCGTCTTGAGTCTGTCTTGCATTGGGTTTTTGATCCGCGGCACAAGTCCGTCCCACGGCGCAATCTTCCAATCGACCTCTTGCAAGGCGGAGCGTGCATACATTAACATGAGGCTTCAATTTATCTTCTTAATGTGAGTATCGTACATATTTCCCACTTCTCATTCATACCAAAGTTTCTCACATAAAATAAGCTTTCATTCAAGCTCAAATAACAGGCATTTTGCATACACAATAATATTAATTACTAAAAGGAAAAGTTATAAGGCAAAGATTAAGATATCATGGTTTCAATAACACATCAAACAGAAAGCATATTATTTGGGAGTATATTGCTCAAATACTTTAAATGATTTTAAATGATTGTCTTTTGAATTGTCTAAGTTCTGTTTCTTTGTCTGTGACAGGAGAAACGCGCGCTTTTTCTGGAAAGTAGGAAAAGGATGCGCCCCTTTTGGAATGCAGGGAGAAAGAGGGGAGATATCCCGAGGTCATGACACTGTCACGGGTGGAGATCTGCCATTCTTCTCGCTCGGACATGGAGCTATTAATCTGTCGCTTTCTGTTTATCGGACTATCAATTTATGCGTTAAACGGTCATGGGGTCCAGGAGTGTCTGTCGCTGGAACATTTCCAGATACCAGGTTCTTTGTTCTGTTGGTTATTAGATAGTTTATGTATGCTGAAGCCAGTCCCGAGGCAACACTGCCGTTCTGTTGCTTAAATTAGTCCAGATGCAGAGGTCAGTTATCTGTGGATCACCGGATTGGCTTTCACCGTGGACGAAGCGGAGTCCACATGTGGTTGCCACAAGCCCTCCGGACGCTCCTTTGTCGAATCCGTCGGCCGCGCCATTCTCAAGCCCGCTGCCTCTGCTCACTCTAGCCCTCCGGCCGTTCCTCACTCTAGCCCCTGGCCTCTGCGCCATTCTCAAGCCTGTGCCTCTGCTCACTCTAACTCTCCCGCCGTTCCTCATTTTATCCCCCGGCCTCGGCTCACTGTAGGCCGCCGTGTGTGACGCTGTTTCGTTGTGAAAGCAAAACACATTTCTCTGATCACAAATGCAGACATGGTTTTATGTTTACGCGGCACGTAAAAAGACAGTATAAGTCATTATAATCCATAATTATGTCCCCACTGGATGCAACGAATGCCTTGTTTATAATGGGTTTTCATGTTTTTGAATCATTGTTTCGGCCTGACAGGGCATCATCACAATATGGTAGGGGCGTAACATTTCCGTCACACGCTTGAGGTATTCGGCCAATCATAATGCACTGGATAGCTGGCAAATCACAGCACACCTTGCTTTTCAGACCAATGAGCTTTATTAAAATCGACGTGTTTCAGAAAGGCGGGGCATAGAGGAGAAACAATGTCAGGCAACGGTAGAACTAATGTTGTTTGTGTGTGCGTGAGGCGTCTGTGCGATCAGATGGATTAAATCAAATAAAGATATAAAGAAAATAAATAAAATGCATTAAGACATTTTTTAAGACAAAAAAACGAGCGTAGCCTATACTTGTTGCACACTTTTTTTTTCTTCCTTTTGTTAATCTGTTAATTATATTATAGCCTATTATATATTGTGTGTGATCCTATTTATTTTATTCTTTTATAGACTTAATTTCTGTTTTTCTCCTTTCACAGAAGTGCTGCAGCTGCATGATGCGACAATTGAATCCTCATGGTCTTGTTTATGCTGCTATTTGCGCATGTAAAGCTAAAGCCCTGTATAAAAAAAAAAAAAGACATTCTAATCTTACTGGTTAACGATCGGCTAATGAGCTTCGTTTGACGGTCAGGAAAAGAAAAATGAACAAAATGCTGTCATTCTACAATTCTCCACCATATTTACTATGTTGTGCGCTCAAGTTTTGCGTTGAAACGACCGTACGCCCAATTTTCTGTCATACGTTCATTACGTAAATGAGGCCCATTGTTCTCAAACTCAAGGTGACGTCTCTTACCTTGGTCACTTGAGTCGTGGTTGCTGAGGTAATGTTTTCCGTAGTGACGGTGACCGGAGAAGCAACAAAGTGTCTTTCCAGACGCTTTGACCTTACCTGAAATACAACAATGTGTTATATGTTTTACTGTTAAACAGTTTTGCCCCTCTCCCCTTTGCAAAGTAATAAATAAATATCACACAGACAACTGTACATACAGTACACAATTAGTAAACCACTATTCAGATCCTTTGCTATGACACTAGAAATTTAGGTCAGATGCATCCCATTTCCAAGGCATGGATCTGGGGAAGGCTACAAAAAATCTCCTTCATTGAAGGTTGCTAAGAGTGGCCTTCATTATTCTTAAAAGGAAGAACAATTTTGGAACAACCAGGAATTTCCTAGAGCAGGCCATCCAGAGCAATCAGGGGAGAGGGGTCTTGGTGAATAAAAACCCACTGATAACTCTGGTTGAGCTCCAGAAATCATGTGTGGAACAACCAGAACCCTGTAGTCCATCAATCCAGAAAAACTGAAAAAAGCATTTGAGCATTTGCACAGTGCTCAGACGCATATTGTCTGCTCATTAACTCGTGCGACACAAGCAGCCCCCTGTCTCAGTGCAGCACTCAGTCATGTATGGAACACAAAGGAGTTCCAGTCGCTCACTCATTCAGGTGTTATAAGCAGCCGTGCCTTTGAGCAGCGGTCAGTCGTGTATAAATAATACATATGTATGAATCAATCCAGTTTCCAGTTTAAATGAACACTAGAGACAGGAAAACACAACTTTTATTCCTTTTCAGACAATGTATGATTTACATGGCCAGAGTTTCGATTAAGAAAGACTAATTTTTGCACAATTCCTTGCACAATATTATGACTTCAAAACAATTTTAACATGCTGCAAGGTTTGAAAACTTTTGATACTTTGAAAGTTAGCATCGCATATAACATATTGATGTTTATATGCGAAAACTCCTTTTACCTCAAAATCTTTCTCCTTCACCCAGCTATGCCATCTTCAAGAAGCCTCTTGTTGCTTATATCACATATGGATGTTTTTCCATCCTGATGATCCGACGATAGCTGCTCGCATCTCAGCATGTCTAACAGACATTTCTTGTTGGATGACGGACCATCACCTTCAACTCAACCTGGCTAAGATAGAACTGCTTGTGGTTTCAACAAACCCATCACTTTATCAAAATTTCACCATCCAGTTAGGCTCATCAACCATAACTCCTTCAAAAACAGCTAGAAACCTTGGAGTTGTGATTGATGATAAGCTGAATTTCTCAGACCACATTGCTAAAACTGCCCGGTCCTGCAGATTTGCTTTATACAACATTAGGAAGATCAGGCCCTTTCTTTTAGACTTGTCATTTGCACTTATATATTGTTGCTCTTTTGTTAGTTTTGACTGCTTTTATTGTCCTCATTTGTAAGTCGCTTTGGATAAAAGCGTCTGCTAAATGACTAAATGTAATGTAAATATACAACTTTATGTGTATGGGTTCCCTTTCGAGACTCGACATCGTGACTAGTCACTTGGGCGAAAACTCCTTTTACCTCAGAATCTTTCTCCTTCACCCAGCTATGGCATCTTCAAGAAGCCTCTTGTTGCTTACTGTTAAAGGTCTGCTCTTCAGAGGACGGTGCCTGGATTGCTGTTCCCTGTCTTCAGGAAGTTCCAACCGCTCACACGATGTAAGCAGCCCCTGCCACAGAGCAGCTGACAGGTGTGTTCGGAACACAGGAAAATTCCAATCAGTCACCCGTTCACTACAAGCAGCCCCTCGCAGCGGTCAGAGTAGAAAAAGCCCAGTCGCACTTATTTATGTGATGCAAGGAGCCTCCTGCTTTTAAGCAGCACCACCCATGAAAATAGTGAAGTTCCACTCCCTCACTCATTAACACAATGTAAGCAGGCCCCTGCCTCAGCGCAGCGGTCAGCCGTGTATAGAGCACAAAGCAGTTTTCGACCGCTCCCTCTTTCTCAAGCAGCGTATGCAAAGCTCCTTTTTAAAGACACTACCAGATCCTTCCTCACACTGAACCTAGTAACACTGGATTAGAGCCCTCTGTGATTGTAGCATTGTCCCCACAGGAAATGCTTTATCACAGGCCTCCTACGCAACTTTGGACAAAATAAAACATGCAATATCGTCACAATATAATATGTGTAACTTCTCTGTCTAGGCAACAGCCTCAAAGACCATTTGCCGAACTCCAAAGTTCAGACTCATGGCTACCCTCAGCAGCTCAGCCTGTTCAGCCTGCCCATCCTCAGGTACAGCCACAGCATCAGCCGATTCCAGTGTAACCTGCACCCACGCATATGCAGCCACTACATCAACCAGTTGCTGTGCAGTCTATGCCAGCTCCCATTCAGCCTGTAGCAGCTGAACCAGCGATGCATCCTGAGTGTCTTTTTCAGCCACTACCTCTGCCTCCACCTCCCTGGCCTGGACCACAACTACAGTATTGTTATCCTGTCAATCCTGTGGCACCTGGACTGATGGAAATAGCCACTGCTCCCTCCCCTGGCATACCCAAACCAAGCTGGCAGTCTTCTCCTAAGAGAATGCGAGTGATTTCCTGATGCTTAAGGACTAGACAGTATCCTTGGCCCTCAAAGGCATTTGACTGAGGACTACAAGTATCAGGTGCTCTTAGATAATCTAGAACTGCCTGCTGCTTGCCAGGTAGCTAAGAGGTATGACAACATCCAATTTCCCTAGACCAGTTCTATGCCCTAGAGCAGAGGTATGGTCAGCCAAGACAGCGAATTCAGAGTGAGCTAAGAGCTATTCTGAATGCACCAGCCATTCAGCCAGGTGGTGCTCAAAGTGCCAGTTCCAGGACTTACACCTTGCCAGAGTTTGTTGAATAGCTGGAAAGAAAGGCTCAGGCCATTCAAATATCAAGGCGTGTAACAGGGTCAGTTCATGCAGAGCCACTTTGACGAGAGCAGAAACCCTTTCCTCACCCTAAAGCCAAGGCAGCCACAATTCTGTCAGCTTCTGTCACTAAAACAAATTCCTCGTATGTGTAAACATACCTGGCAATAAAGCTCATTCTGATTCTGATTCTCAGAGGAAGTGAACAATCTAAAGCCAACAGTGTGCCCTCTAGCTCCCTCACAGACATTAAATTGCCAGCTACAGCTAACAACCTACTGCAACAACCATGAGCATTATCTCAATGCTTGTGCCTTTTGCAAGCTGAACCACATTCAAAGAGGAAGCTGGATTAAAGAGCACAATAAATGCTGGAGATGTGGACGAGAACACAAACAAGACAGCTGTACATTCAAGAAAACATGCCCTACATGTAGGGGGCTTCACCTGCTTGTTCTGCATGAAGTTTTACTTACTGTGGAGAACCAAAAAATATTTATAGTGAACGCAACCACTACTCATGTTTACTTAGATCAGGCCACTCATTCAGGCAGAAAGTTGTTAAAAGTTGTCCCGGTGAGACTCCGCAGTGGCAAAAGATTTCTGGACACCCATGCAATGTTAGATGATGGTTCTGAACGAACAATCATACTGCCAAGAGCAGTCAAGCATCTGGGTCTAAAAGGATCTGAGAAACTGTTAACTCTTAGGCAGGGTTGGGAGGGTTACATTTAAAATTTATTCCGTTACAGTTACAAATTACTTCATTAAAAAGTATTCAGATAAAAGTACTGTAATCTGATTACTTTTGGATTACTTGAAGTTACATATGTAAATAAAGTCAAAAAAGCAATATCTAAATACTTTTATTTAACTATGACTTTAAAATGAAAACAAATACAAACTATAGTAAAAACTATTTTAAACTATTAAAAATTGTCTTGTTTCACCATCTAGATATTACAGCCCGTATATATATATTTATATAAAAGGCTATGCAGACATCTAGTGGCTATACAGTTTAGTATTACAGTTTTATTTTTATTTTATTTCTTTAACATGCACAAGTAAAAATAAATATAGTTTATACACAACATAAAAAAAAATTACACCATATACATAGTCTATTTTAAAATAAGCCTACATGTCGAAATATATGTGAAATGCTACGATCTTTCTTTATTTCATTGACTGATCTGGGGTGGGGACTCTCGTGTTAATTTCTACATTTTCCAGCTCATTTTCCACTAGAAAACTTACACACAACTGCATTCATGCACACCATGGAATTTTAAAGCAAGAGTCTTCATGCATAGCTTACGCTGTACAACTATGTTATTTCCTTTATCCTTTTTGAAGAAAAAAGAACTGAAATTTCCAGACATGAAAACGTTTTTCCCAGCAGGAAGCACTGTAATTAACTGTAGCAGCGTCTCATCCCGCGTTTGAGGAGAATAATTGTAAACGGGTGTTATTTGCACACACACCAGCAGGCGGCTCAAGTGAGTCAACACGTGTCAACAGAACCAGAAACTACTGAATCAGAATCAGAATGAGCTTTATTGCCAGGTATGTTTACACATGCGAGGAATTCGTTTTAGTGACAGAAGCTGCACAGTGCAACAGAATGACAGTGACAAGACAGGACACAGATAATAAAAAGAATAATATAAAAATAGACAAAATAGACAATGTACAAAAAAGCAAAAACACAATATATAATATAGACAATTTTGTATGTACAGGTATGATATGTGCAAATTTGAAATGTAAATAAGTATGTGTGTTAAATAAATAATGTATAATTGTGTTGTGTGTTCCATGTTTATTGTTAAGTGTTCATGAGATGGATTGCCTGAGGAAAGAAACTGTTCCTGTGTCTGGTCGTTCTGGTGCTCAGTGCTCTGTAGAGTCGACCAGATGGCAACAGTTCAAAGAGGGAGTGTGCTGGATGTGAGGGGTCCAGAGTGATT